CCATGCGAAAATGGTAAGACAAGATCACAGAGCATGCCCTCCTGCATGTGCTCAGTCAAAGTTAATGAGTGTGGATATCACCAGCATCCAAATTCAATTGTCCTCAGGCCAGCTGACGTTTAAAATAATTTCAGGACCAGGAGTAACTTTTATATGAGTAAAGGAACTAGCAAATAGATTTAAGGGATGCAGTCACTAAAGGCAAGAACTTTCTTATTCAATAATGTCCTTGACAAAAAAACAGAACGTTTCTTGCAGTTCAAAAGAGTAGAGCAATGATATAATGAAACATTTTTCCTGAGGCATTAACTTTTTCTAGTAAAACACTTAAAGCTGAACATCTTGTCATGAAAACTTACATACTGGAACTCAATACATGTCTGAAAAGCACTTAGGATCTTGTAAGATGTCTCCTGTACCCACATGAACTTCTTGAACACAGATTGTGCTGCCAAGTGTCATTAGCAATAACTAAGCACACTTGGCAAGACCTTATTCATTCCAGCTTTCAGAAGATAAAATGAAAATTGCAGCTTCTATTCCTCCTGTCTCCCTGCAAACAATTGCACCTGACAGGATTTAGACCTGGCACAAATTGCAAAGATGTGAAGTCTTTTGAAAATATAATATTAAGTGAAGTTTCCCTGCCAGTAAGTTGTTTTATTGTGCAGATTGCACTTGAGGCAGTTCGCAGGGAAAAGCTACAGCTGTTCAAGACAATGTGGTATATTTCAAAATCAATGTTAAACACCAAGACGAAGGAAACACTGTGACCTGAGCCTGCGTTTATTTATCCAGCGGGAATGATGTGACATAGACATTTCACATCACTCAGAGCTGCAAAGTAGAACCGAAGATGACTTTATCATAGTTTTCAGTTCTACTGAAATTCAGAAAATAGTGATACTTTATGGTGCATAGGCAAAAAATATAACCAAGTTATGTACTGTACTCAAAACGTTAATGCCAAAATACTTTGGTTAGCTGGTTATTTTATTTATTTATTTGCACTTAAAATAACAAAATAAAAATGAACACCATCAGTGTGCAGGGGTAGGTTTGTCAAAGCTGATTCCAAATATTTGCTCGTGTTACTCTGAGGGAAAGTTTAGTGTGTGAGAGTCAAGTCAGTGTGATACAGATGTTATTAGCTGTGCATGATGAATAGTAATGGAAGTAAGAGCTTTCAAAAGAAATATGGAGAGGGTTTAATGACTAGCTTAAAGCTCATAATTATATCACCATGCCATTTACTTAGTAGATGTTTACTCCATTTACACTTGGAATTAACATGTTTTCTGTATTTGGATATCCTATCTGGATATCAATAACACAGAACGCATCACGATCTGAAGAAGATGGGAGCAGCCAGACTACGTGGAGGTGGTCAGGCTTGCATTGTGATCAGATATCAGCCAGGTGTACAGCAAGACCACACTGTGAAGAAAAAAGTCAGCCTAGAAAGTTAAAAGGTCATTTTACTGCTCCTCTGTGTGACAACCTATAAGCAACCCCCTGCAAAAAGCTACGAGCAGCGACCAGAGCTACAGCAAAAAGTGAATTAGTTTCCCTTGTCCTTGAAGGTGTCATGCCTTTTGATGAGACCATCCAATGAAATCTGACCAAAACACACATTTTCATTCCAGGTATAATGACAATGACACATGGATTGGCTGTCGTTATCCTACTGTACCAATCAAACAGTTTCACTACTATAGCAGTGTTACTGTACATCTTTCATGTACACTATAGTTCAGAATTGCAACACTCCACAAAGAACAATATAATCTTCCCTGCGTGTGGGGGACAATCTATTTCTGTAAATATCCTAATTCTCTGTTTTTGTAAGTATAATTATTTATCTGTCTCTTTATGACAAATAAACAGCTGACATCCAGCCAGGGGCATGCACATACAAGTTTACTTTTATTGCCTTGCCTCAAAAGATAAAGCATTGATGTGCACTGATTGATATGCCCAAATTGTTGGTTCTGAGAGAATCATCACTGATTTCCATGTGCAAAAAGTGCAACATTGTGAGGATATTGGTTAATGCAGAAATCGCATGTGTTCCTCCCTACACCAGCTGTAAGTTGCTTGATAAATGGGTCCCTCATTAGAGCCTCAGTATGAACATAACATAATAAAATCCACTGTAAACAAAAAATGTCAGTAAGATTTCTTTGATTATTAATTGTGTCTTCTAGAATACAGGCATGACCATCTACACAGAAAGCGGTGTCTCCAGTATGGAACAGGGCTTTGCAGCACAAAGCCACTCTGTCTGGCTTTGTACTGCAAGAAATGGGAAGAAAGTAGGCCATCCAAAACAACAAGAGACATCCAGCTACTGTAGCTGATAGGAGACTGCAAATCCTCCGGATCCATTATCGAAGGCTTTCTCATAACAGGGCAGAGAGCATCCTGATTGTGACTTACTAAATCAAGTCCTCAATCATTGTGGGCATTTATAGTACTCAACCATATCCAATTAAATTGCCTTTGCACTAAATATATCCCTGGTGAGTATGATTATGAGAATTAGCGTCGACAGTTTTTTGTCCAAATGGAAGGTTTGTCAATAAGATGTATAATTTAAAAGTAAGTGTTTGATTCCTGATGAGGGCGTTAATAAATCATTACTGCAGCTATAAATAGAGAGTTGCCAAGCAGTTGTGAAAATGGCTTCATGTATTTATTTATGTTAAAGCAATGGCAATTAATAATGAATGTTTTATGACAAGCTAAACATTCGAGTGGTGGGTGAGAGGGGCTTTGAATGTGGGTCAGGCTCATAGAGATGCTTAATGGAAAACCATTTCTCTATGATTAGATATAATAAGAAAACGATTTGGTTTGGTGTGTGTGTGTGGTTGTGCATAGCTGTGTAGTTGCATTAGAGGGAGTGAAATCCTACATACCTACACATTTTTCTTTGTGCGTGAGTGTTTCTGCTTGCATGTGACAAATGTGAACATGCACCTAATGCTTATTGTGCGCTTGCTACCGAATCAACTCTCCTGCATGGTCAATAAATCAACTCTGATAGGGTCAGCGTTGCAGCGTCTGAGGTATCAGAATCTCATTAAAAGCTTATTCCAGTTGTGTTTAGTTGCTCTCACCAAACTCCATAGTGTTGCTATGGATACCAGACAGGTTACCAACTACCAAACATGGGAGCAGAGCACGGGGCGGAGATTATCTGGTTATTATTATATTAGATGTCATGTGTATTCCTTGCTATGCTTTTACGAAGGGCCCCAGTATCTAATCATAAAGACAGCTCAGACACTTAGAGAAGACACACAATTTCCATTCTTTGCCAGCTTGGCGTGATTCAGAGCGGAGTGCACCAAGAGCGCTTGTGATATTCATTCAGTCATTAATACATGGTGCACCAGCCAGATCACTGCCTGTGATGCCGCACCACAGGGAAACAGGAGAGGATAGAGAGGGAAAGAAGCAGTTTAGTGTGATCGGTGAGACAAAGTCATGACTGATATGTAAATGAGTCTGTCTTGTATGAGAGAAATTACCTTTAGTTGTGCTATTTACCAAGAAAAACAGTATGCAAATGGTGACATTTCTTCCTTGCACTGAATCAGTGAGCATTTCACTGCTCTGCAGATACACTGTAGTGGCTAATGTGTTTACAATTGTATTCTCTCCCAAACTGCATTACCTGTGGCTGACTGGAAGGCAGCATATACAGTAAAATGACATCTGATGCTTTCAAGTGCAGTAGATTACTGAGGAGGCGGTGGCAATCTGCTCTTGAAACAATAATATACTCCCTTGAAGTGATCCTCAAAGACCCTTAAAATGAAGCAATAGGCTTTTGCATGTCTGCAGAATTACTGACTTCACTACCACTTAGTGGAATCACTACATGTTATTGAAGTTTCTATTATATAATTCACATTAACCTAATGTGTTCTGGTTTATATAATCTCAATATTAATATTTTACGAGGTGAAAGGTGTTATGTAACTTCTGAAAAGGAATGCTGTGGAGAAAGCATTTAAGACAAGGTACCTGTGTAAGGCACACATGAATGACAGTCTAATGAATGATCTCAACACTCAACACTTAAAGAGCCTTTAACAGGCTACATACTCTACTGTGTTCAAAGCTGCAGAAAAAACACAGACCTGCTGTATGCTGCAGAAGTGTCCTTAGTCCATACTTAGGTCTCTTATTGTACTCTAGGGGCATCTATATTAAAATGGGAATGGCTACAGGAATTGTAGGGGAGGAATAAGGAGCTCAAAGGCTTCAGAATTGACTGATGACTGCTTGAGTGGAGAGATAAAGCATACTGTAAATGAAGAGAAAAGAAAGGTGACAGAAACATGTCGTGAACAAAATTCTCGTCCAGCAGAGTGGTGTGTATGTGGACAGACTAGTAAAAAGGAAGCCATGTGGGGACATTTTTTTTGAAAATCATGGTTCAGGTATTGGCTTTAATATGCTTGAATGTCTTGGCTGCAGGTCAGAGTTTAACAAATGCTGCTGGATTATAATAGTGTATGCACGACTGCCTCTGTCCCAAGAGCAAATATCAAGATCACCTAGTATCTGATAATAATGTTCGGTCATCACAACAAGAATTTTATCACTGAGTTGAATTATCAGTTATTATCAAGAGGCTCTGTATTATACTAGTTCATCAAACAAGCCTTAATGACATCCTTATGTCATCAGATTTTTCTTCATTCCAGGACTGAAAAAAAAACAAAAAACAAGAAGCTATGAACCTTTTTTCTCCTGATGCTAAAATGTTATCAGTTGATAACTGTGCTCAACAATGTGACCGTTCTGTAACTGGCCACAGTTGTTTCGCCATCATCCCTCATTTTTCTTGACAAAGGTTTAAATACTGGTCTCAACTCACAGAGCTGCCAAATTAAAGTTCATATCACATACAAAAGAATTGCCTATTTAGTCTTTATTAAAATCACCTTTCACCTTCCTGTGCTTCCTTCCAGCTGTACATCCAGACAACCACCCTGACCATCTCCATGAACCTCAGTGCCTCAGTAGCACTGGGCATGCTCTACATGCCCAAGGTGTACATCATTATCTTCCACCCTGAGCTGAACGTACAAAAGAGGAAGCGTAGCTTCAAGGCTGTGGTCACAGCTGCCACAATGTCATCACGGCTGTCCCAGAAGCCCAGCGAGAGGCCCAATGGAGAGGCTAAGACTGAACTGTGTGAGAACCCTGTTGCTGACCCCATGAGTAAGTAGCCCAGTGAGAGAAACACAACACATTCACACCATGAACCAAGCTCCTTCTTGTTTGTACTAGATCACAAGGCTTTTAGTTAAAAAATACATTTAGATTCTAAAGTGGTAAAAATTTTACTCCCGCTAAAGTATTAAGCATTTATAAGCAGTATACAAATACTTAATAAATGGTGTCTATTACACTAAAACATATGCAGTTATAAAGTTGTGTAATATTTCTTCACACATTCTGTGTTTATACAGCTTACAGGTGTCCACAGGAGTTACAGTTGTTAAATACATCAATTAAATACTACTAAGCACCATCTGCTTACATCTACATTATAGTGTCATAAACTGTTATCAATTAGGGGTTGATATATTATCTAATAATCTATTTTACCATTTACTTTTACTAGTTCAAAAATCTGAATGCAATAGCCAGCGACTTACAGTATAATAGTAATTTAAAAAACAACACGTTTGGTCACACACTAACTAAAGTTGTGTGTAGTATCTATCAAAGTTAGCATCACACACACATTAATTTTGTGAGTTACAGTTGACACACTGACTCTGTCTTGTTGGTTTTCAATAAGTTGATCGTGCTTATAGAGATTAGGCTGCGATACAGTACAAACCACAAAGTAGACCCAGGAGTTAAACTCTACACACTGTAATCTGTGCAGTGGAGGTTTTGATTGGTTTTAAATCTTATTTTCCCAAACAGGGTAAATGATGTCTCTTTCTATTCTTTGTCATACCTTTCTCAGTTTTGCTTTTTTGTGCTGAAAGGTCTAATTCCAATCATTTAATTCCATGGCTACTTGATTAAAATGTATATATAATGCCCTGGTATGGACCCAGTTATGTTGTTTTAGTGATAAATAGTTAGAACTTTAGCAGGCATGCATGTGTCTATGGCAGAGAGTATGAGAGAAGATGGGGACTTGCTCTGTGCAGAGATCTGAGAAAAAAAACCAAACAGGTTTGGTGCCAGGAATGGAAGAAGATAATCGGCCTCTGTAGCTGTGTATTACTCATACCAGTAACCATGATCTTGTTAGCAAAGATAATACTGGGTATAAGTAGGGAAACTTACTGTACATGCCTCCCTAGTTTCTGTAGGTGATATAATGTTTCATTTGGATGAGAAACACCAACAGAAAGGTTTTAGAAAAAACTGCAAAAGCTGAATTTTAACCAGTGTTGCCATGGAAGCTCTTTGCTCCTGTTTAGTTGTCAGGATAAAGACAGATATGATTGACAGCTCATGCAAATCACAGGCTCCAAAGGCCTCCTGTCCCGCAACACCTCTAATCACATAGAAAGATCATGGCACCCACAGGTGCACCAGCTCCTCAACCCCTCTGAATTATGCCTATGAGATGACAGATTTTCCTGGGAATTTCTCCAAATACCCAACAGTTGTCACACTCAACTGTCATGAGCCGAATAAGCTTGTGTATATGTGTATGTGTGTATGCGTACAACTCTGGGTGTGTATCTGTGCATGTAGTTTTTCAATGTGTGTATCAGTGTCTGACTCAAAGTCTGAGTTACGCACACACAGTATAAGTCAGAAAACTGATGCAAGTGTATAAGGGGATGGGGGACATATCCTTGCCTCTCACACATGTGGCTCACCAAGCAAATACATACAGTGCTCTGCACGGAGGGCGAAACCTTAACATCTGTCACAGCAGCACATCAAAAGTCACCAAGCAGGGCATGCAGTCTGTGGGAAGCCTTCCCCAAAGTGCACTGTGTCATCTGTTCTGTGTGTCTCTCACCTTCTGTCTCTCTGACATGAACGTCTTCTCGCTTTGCACTCTCTCCTCCTCTTGCCCTTGCATTGGGAGTGACATTTATTAATGGTGTATTTATGCACATGACCACCCCAAAATCTGAACTGTACCTCAACCAACCCCTGCAGATTGTCCGTCAATCCCCCACCCCCACCCCCCCCCCCATTCCGGCTTTTATCAGATGATTCATGGGATTAAGGCCATTAACAGTTCTGCAGAGGTCCACTGGTGTAATGTCTTCATGATTACACCTCTCAGAGACAGGAGGATCTACCCTGTAATTCAGAGATGTGGACATGACTCACTGTCTCGTACTATTTTTCTAATATAAATGAACCAAAAAAGGCGTGCGTGCATACCTTGATGCTTTTCAGATAGAATTCACTTAATTAACACTGACAATGTGGTATAAAACACGACCTAACAAATGGCAGGACAAAATATAAGAAAGTTATGGGGTTAGAATAATAATCAGCTGTCAGTATTAAAAAGAAGAAACTAGCGTAGGTTGATGTCTCAGTCTCAATTCTCAGAAGCAAACACATGCACACTCGGTGTCTTGCATCAGAATGACTGATCATACTGGTAACTGTTTACGGTTACCAGCAAGACTCTGTTGTACATTTACTAATGTTTTATTCATCATCCTTGCTGGCCCAGACTACAAAATGCAGCTGTAAAAAGAAATGGTGCGACTTTAATTGCTTAGCCCATGGGAGTTTGTAGCCATAGCAACATTAAAGCAGTAGAATGAGAATCTACAGTACATCTATGATTAAGAAAATGTACATCAACCTTTTCCACCACAGTATGTGCACGCATACTGTACACACTTGTACTTTGTGTTGCTCCACTTATCCCAGTCCTAGGAACCCATACACCAACCTAATCCAAAGATTAAACCTAACTCCAGATTTAAACAGCTTTGTGAACAAGTCATGACAAAACCATAAGGACCTCTGTTTACAAACAGCACCTTCACTCTGAAGCTCTGAAACTCAAATTGGATCTCACAACGATAGATAATCAAGAGGACGCACAAACACACACAGCACATAGGCACTCAGCCACATTCAGATATGTTTCCATGGTAATCCAGACTGGGATCACATCGCATGCCCTACCATTTGTTCGGTGCCCACTTGTGTTGTGTGTGTTTTTTATCACTAGTTAACATCTGAAAATAGAAACTAAGACTACACGGGGGCACCGTGAGTCGAAATGATACATTAGGCCAGAAAATATTGCTACCTACTGCACACAGCTGGTAATAAGAAGGCATGGTGTGTCTTTGCTGCTTTCTTCTGTCCTCTTTTACCAGGGCTCAAAGTAAATCTTAATCTTTTTTACTCTGTTCTCAGGTCAAGCAACCAAGAAAACATATGTGAGTTACAACAACCTCAGGATCTGATCTGCTTGAAAATGAATGCTGTTTCTTTGTTATCTGTGATTGAAAAAGGGAAGGGAGCTCTAGAGGAAGCAAGGAGGGAGAGCGCAGGCATCCCAGCACCACCTGCAGCACCTATGCACTCCAGGACTGTGGATAGTATCCAAACTTCATCCCTTCCTGACACATGAGTCCTGACAGAGAACTAGCACAGCTGCAGGTCAGTGTGGCTGGGTCGGCCTCCAGAACCAGACTGTAGGTTTAAAGCTTGTGCTGTGGTCCCCTTCACTCCAACAAAGAACAACATGTCAGTTGAAAGGGGTCGCTACGAATGATGCCGGCAAAAAAAAAAGAAGAGAAAAACAAAGGACAGTGGATCTGCTTTCAAGATATTTTCTTTTGAAATGTCATTAAAGCCATATTCTCTTGGGGTTCCCATTGTCTGATTTCTGTTTTGTATGGTTTTTAAGTGATTTTCTTCTGTGCCTCTTGAAGTTGATTTAACTACCCTGAACAGCAAGTCTGTCACATACAGTATAGTATTTTGTTTGACCAAAATAAATTCCAATCAGTCCCAGATGATCATTATGTTAGAGTGATGGGCATTGTAAACATATATTTTTTTTGTAAATATTTGAGAGTATTTTCTTGTTTGGAGTACAAAACTAGATATCCAGTCTTTGTTTAATCGGATTTGAATGATAATGAAAAAGCACCACAAAGTGTTCACTTTGCATGTGCCAATGTATGTTTGTTCTATTTGATGTAAAAAAAAAAAAAAAGAAAGAAAAGAAAAGAAAAGAAAAAAGAAATAAATTCTGAAAATGATTATGAGCTTCAGCATCCTTCTGCCATTTGTTTCTTTACTAGAACTAAACTTCATGAAATGACAGAGTATGGCTTTAATCTGTTGTTGAATTAGCGCCCGACTCCTCCTTCCCACCCCACCCTGTATCTGCAAGCATGTTTGTTTTATATAGTTCCGTACTGGGTATAATATGCCTAATAACGGTGTGGGAAACATTCATATCAAAGCAATCACGCAAGTACGTTGTAATGTCTGTCAAATTATGAACATGTAATAAAATCACTTTGTTATCTTTTATACAATTAACCCAGACAGCATATCATTTTTATTTGTGTGTATGTGTCTGTTTGTGGAAGAGTGTTTTTCTTCTTTTTTTTTTGCAGAGAGTGTACAGCATGTTGTATGAGTTGTCCATCGAGTTTCTGTGAGCTGAAAGAAATGTCATGTGTTTGTTTACTGTCTCGCCCCATGACAGGGCACATTAGCGAGCCCACTGAGCAGTGCTGTCATGCAGAGGAGATGCGACCCCATGAGAGCAGACTATGTCCACTAGCTGATTCCTTTCCCCCGCCCTTTGCTCTCTCTGTCCCATCCGTCGTTTCTCTCGCTTGCTCTCGTGGCTCCTTCCAAGCCTCAGCAGCAAACCCCTACATGAATAATAGAACATGTCAGATCAATTTGTCCTGCTGATGACCAGGCTTTTACGAGCTAACCATTTTTTATTTCTGTGCCTGCAAACATAATGTTTCTATTTTCAATATTGATTATGATATAAAAACATAAATAGGCCATACATGAGAGATTTCTGTTTCTTCACCTGGTAAGTGTCTCCCTCTAGGCTGTTACACAGGGAAATGATATATGACCAAGAGATGCTGATTCTTCTTTTTTTGTTTGTGTGTGTGTGTGAGAGAGAGAGAGGTGGGAAAACTGAGGAGAGGGATCCTTACCCACACAAGTTTTCTGTTGTTTCTCTTTCCATTTGTCTAGCATCTTTCTCAGCTCCTGTGGGACCAGACGTTCTCTTTCTTCTCATACAGTACGCACAGCCTGTCATTTTCTGTTGCACACGAACGAGAAAAATCCCACTTATGCCCAATTAAGACTAGTCTCTCCCCCACCAAATTAATTGCCTGTGTCAGTGTCTTTGTGTAAGTAATCAGTAGGCGCTGAACACAGTTTAGATTTGCTGCTCAGCAAAAAGAAAGTACACACTAAACAGCTCAAGCGCAGCATTCTGGATCTTGATATAAAGAAAAGAAAACTTCTTTGAAATGCAGGAAAAATATATTTAAAAAAAATCTAAGCATAATATGCTGAGAAGTTTTTTTTTACATGCCTAAAATAGCGTGAGGTATGGCTTACTCCAAACGCTCAAGGCTCCTACGTAAGAGCCACCTGCTCAGAGCGCACCTGTTCTGTAGGCAGCAGTTTCTTTCAGGGAAAACATCAGAGGATGGAAACTAATGATGGTGGACTGGTGGCACTCCACCAGGAGGACTTAAATGTTTCAAACTCTGACTGTCAGACGCAGGATGTGATGCACAGAACATTTGAAGTTGAACAACGGATTTTATAGACTGTTACAGTGTGTGCTTGTCAAGAGTTTTGATTTTTAAGAGCTGTCTATTTACAGAGTTTTCAGAAGCGTCCCCACCTGCCTGACCTGGTTTAGATGACAAGGTGACGCTGCTGATCTATGAAACATACTCTTCATTGTACCCCTCATGTGATATGTAGAAGTCCCAGCACCAAAGGCTCAGGCTTTCTTCTGTCTTGAGTTTTCATGTCACTTTGCCTTTGAGGGGAGCATTCTTTATCTTGTCAGAACTCCTGATACGCTCTTTCACAGACAATTTACTGATGCTGAGTCTAGATTAGCTCTGTTTGATGGCTCCTGGGCTCTGGGCTCTCCTATCTCTCCATAAATGTCCAATTACCCAACTCTAGCCTGAGTGAAACCTTATCTCTTCCCGTCAGTGACCAACCGAGGCCTGATATAAGGGAGGGTGGATAAAGACACTGTGCACTCTCCTTATTTTTCCCTGCTGTACTCAAAACCTCCTTATGATGCTTTTTGTTTATCAGCATCTTTTCCTTCCTCTGTGTCTCTTCAGGTCTCAAGAAATCAGGCCACTTACTGTTTCCAGCATATGGTGACAGTAAGATTTTATAATTACAGTAGTGGTACAGCAAGACAGTAATTGGTGAGACATGAATCATAATATCCGCATCTCCTCATACACACTAATAATCATCTGGAGGAAGATCAGAAGGGAATTATGTGAACAGGCTCCACAGCTGAAATACTGTTTGTTTTTCCATGAGAGACCCAAGAAAAAGATACAGCGCCTTTTTTCAGAGTGAATAAATTAGCTAGTGGTCACTGAATGCCATGTCTTATCTGTGGGTCCACAGTGCTACACCATGCCCTGCTTAAGCTGCACAGCGTGTGTGTGTGTGTGTGTGTGTGTGTGTGTGTCACAGCGTTATTGCATTTTTAATCAGCGGAAGAGACCAGGCATCATTCTCATCACATTAGTGTCTCCTGGTATTTATTCCTTCCTCCCTCCCCCCTCTCTCTTTCTCTCTCACCAATTTTACTCCTCAGGGAGGTGGGTGGGTGGAGAGAATACATGTGAAATTTGCTCATTTGACAGTTGTTAGAGATATAGATTGTGACAGTACACAATTAGCTCAGTCACCTCCTGTATCTTCACTCATCGTCTGCTGGGGGATTTAGTGTTGCCTCCACACCTCTGTCACTGTCTCCCTCTCCCATCTCTTTGATATCCAAACTTCTAATTCCACCATTCCCTGTTAATGATCATTTGAAAATTGCATCTCTCACTTCATGGATTTAATTGACTGCTGTGTTATTAAGATGACTGAGTGAGACGAATGCTCTTCAGAATTTGCAGCTGAGTAGGTGCGCTAATCTGCTGCTTTCCTCCAATTTTTCCTGTCAGAAAAATGCATTCAAGGAGAAGAAAAAACGTACTAAGTGCTGGCATACATATTCATATTTGTTACACTTGTATAAAATAAAGTAGTGCAATTTTAACATTGAATCACGGCTCAGGTTTGTGGCACAGACAAAAGCCAAGAGTATTTAAACCAAGGAAGATCATGTGCGGTTTAAACAGGAGTTGACAGAGTTGACAGAGCGAAGTGGTGGCTGGCTGTGAAATTTAACTAGAGAGCTAAGCCCTTGATTTCAAGGAGCATGGCATAAACAATGAATTTCCACATCCCACACAAATCATGGTTTGCTGTTCAAAGAAAACTGAACACCTAAAGAGAAA